ATAAGTGAATGTGGATATGTGTGCTTCATAAATACCCATTATAATTATTATTATACTAAAAATCAAATGAAAACTTTACCTCCATCCTGGGTTTCTGCATAGGCCAAATTACTGGAAACATTGTAAGCACCATTGAAGATGATCACTTTGAACTCGTACAGCGTGTTGGGCATGAGCAGTCCCACGGTGGCATTATTCGTGCCTGGCAGGTAGGTGGCTTGGGTTCGAACCCCCGGGGTGGAGCTGGCACCATACTCAACGAAATAGTTGACGACGCTTCCCTTCAACTCTTGCAGGGCTTGGGGGAAACAAGCAACGAATTGAATGCTGTGATTGTCAAAGCAACTTTGGGTGCCTTGGCCAGAAACGTGTTGCTCACAAGATTTCAATGAACAAAGTTTGGCTCAAGACTTTGGATTTTTTTCCCAAAGGTTTTGGACATCCAAATCCTGTCGTACGACAAACGTGTGGTCCCCTAACTACAGAATAAATATGGATACTGTACTTTGGACATGATTGAGTTATCAAGTTGAAGGACTTTGCAGGAACCTTCCTTTTAGCAGAAATCAAACTTTGTCCAGGAATTGTCTGGTGTCCCCTTTCAAACAAAAACTGACACATCAAATTCAAAGCAATTGGAAACACTCTCCATTCCGAACCTGTCCACAAATTGTACAACTTGGGATCAGACTTTGATGAATTTGCATAACATTCCGGGTAGAAAAAAACCCACTGAGGTAGCCTATGTTGACTCATGAGGGAAAGGCAGTTGAACTGGCCATGCAGCTGAGGGCATACTCGCACACAAAATCTACAAACTTCAATACTGACACGTGACTTTGAACCCTAGAGTTTGCTACAGACAAGGGTGAACTTAACCCTAACACTCCTCAGTCCTCCAACAGGTGAAGGATTGAGGAGTGTTAGGGTTAATATGACTCATGGGCAATCACATCGTTTTCTTATTTACTGACAACAATTTTTACCAGGGATTTTGTTTATCTTGAATCTTATTTCCAAAACACTTTGCTTGTACGCTTGTTAAAAAACGACTTAGGTTTTCCGCAAACTCTCAAACTTACTAGGTGTCGTCCATGTCAGGGACACAGTCACATGATCGAGAGCCACGGCTGAAAGCGTAGCACCGAGAGATGGCCGACCGGCCAGCGTGGTGACCTCCCCACTGGAGTTAGAAGTCAAAGAGCCCACGTCATTGGAGACAGTGACCCGATACTGGTAGGTGGTGTAAGTCGTCAGTCCCAGATCGGCGTAGAAGTTTTGCGTTCCACTGTAAATGAGCTGCCAAAAGCCAATGCCGGTAGGGGTCCCTAAAGGCAGTTACAAAGAAAGAAGTGACTTCAGAAAATCATTCCAGTACTTTGAAGTAATATTGAACAGTCTCGTTATACATGTGTGCTTTCTTACAGGAGCCAGGTAGGGATACAGAAATTTCGCTTTAGACAGCAAGATTTAGCAACTTTTCGGTCCATTCCAATTTTTCATTTACAAGTTGTACTATCAAGCAATCCCTGGGA